GCTTGACACGGTTTCAAATTTTACCCGTGAACTAAAAACACTTTCACAGCTCTGAATACACAGATAAAAGGTTCTGAATATTTCAGTAAGTATTAATAGGGATTTACTAAGGATTTTTCCAAAAAAACTCATTATTTTGGAGTCTATACAATTTCAAAACATAGCTTTCACACTATACTAACTGCACATGAAAAATTCCAAAATACCCAGCCTACTTGGCGGCTATGTGCCAAAACTAACGTTGTTAAAATATTTTCTCAAAATTTCGGTCTTTAACGTAATCTTTGAATGAAAAGCTCTTTAATTTAGACCACAATCGTTCGAAGAAAAGACAAAGATTTCCCGTTGTGCTAGAGCCCTCAAAATTGATCGGCTATAAAAAATCGTAAGGTTTGATTTCAAACAAGGGTGAAATACTGTTATAAAGCTAGCTGACAGGGGAAATTTTACCAGTTAACTTATAAGAAGAACAATAAATAAAGCAGGTGAATGAAGCCATGTCCCAAATCCCAATCTAAAGCCATTTTCTCTTGCAGTATGGTTATTTCAAGCGAACCTCGAATTCTCGGAGGATCGCGAAAAAGGTCCATGAAATTGAGACTTTTCACCATTTATTAAAGAACAGTGAAAAGGCGAGTAAAAACTCACAACTCCAAATCTGATATATAGCACTTGATTGGAATTCCTTGCTTTGGAATCATCTCATCATGTATGTGTTAGTAGCACGTATATCTTCTCTCGCTAGTGGATAATCTTTTCCATAATTTTTGTTTACTAGATACATGTATGACCATCCAGACAGTAGAGGTTTACGAGTTAGGAACACCCAGGACTAGTCGGGGCAAGTAGAGAATCACCGCAGCAGTATCGAGTCAACGTGAGTCGTAAATAGTTATAATAGGGTCAACCTCATGAGTCTCATGGCCTGACCGAGAGAAAAACAATAGTACTGTTGATCAGACAAACGGTTATAATGGTGGTCGTGAATGATAAATTCGAAATACTGAATGAAGAAAATTGATATCTACAACAACTGATGACTGAACACGACCTAAAATAATATAACACACTCTTTTTTTTCTACAAGAATATATTTTATAAGAATATCGAGGCTGAAATTTGCGAAATCTTAAGAATACTTTAAGAATAAACTCCAGGCTGAGATTTTGAAAAGGATATAATTTTGTGTGGTGAAAATCTGTAAATACAATACAAATATACCTTTTCAATTTATTCCTTTGTTTAAACTGCAAAACTAGCTTACTATATTTAACAAAACTATAATAAAATAAATAATAAAAATATTTATATAGCGCTTATACTTTTCAGTGCTAAGCAATAATTGATACCTTAATATATTCTAATTCGGAAATGTCATAAGCTATTATTAAGAATAATACAAGAATATTTACAGCCTAAAATCGGCGGAAAAATAAGAATATTCAGCCTGGCCCTGGAAAACAACATTCTATTGATACCTTAATATATTCTAATTCGGAAATGTCATAAGCTATTATTAAGAATAATACAAGAATATTTACAGCCTAAAATCGGCGGAAAAATAAGAATATTCAGCCTGGCCCTGGAAAACAACATTCTTAAAAAAAAGAGTGTAATAAAAGAAATTGTGTTCAACACAGCGACACATTAGCTCCGTAATAAAACGCAAGTGACGTGTAGAAAATATTTTTGCATTTTTACAGCTCGACAAGCTTCTTAATTTATCGAACTACAAAACCATAATCTACTTTTCAAAATGATTTTTCGCTTCATTAGAAAGGAAACTTAACATATACAGTAGGCTTCCGATAACCGGAACCTTCAAGGGAAATCGAAAAGAGTTTGAGTTATCGGAAGTTGGAAGCAAATAACCGGAAGTAAGGAAATAAGCAAATGGCTGGAAAGGAAAGGCACAATTAAGCAACAAAGTATACAGGAATGGACACTGAATTTGAACAATAATGACAAAAAAGTAAAGACAAGGAATTTACTCGGTGTTTTAAAATAAATTCAATGTTGCGGACTTCAGTACACGGTTTTTTTACCCGACTTGTCACGCGCTTATAACATGGTTTGAGTATATCGAGGGTGAAATTGTCCAGAAATGTGCTGAAGGGAAACAAAAATTACTTCGAGATAGCGGGAGGTTCGAGTTATCGAGGGTTCGAGTTACCGAGAGTAAAATTACAGTAAATCAAATCCAGGGGAAATCGACTTTGGTTCGAGTTAGCGCGAGGTTGGAGTTAGCGAGGGTTCGAGTTATCGGGAGTCAACTGTATGTTCAAGAAATAATGATTCATTTTCATCACACTCTTCGTACAGATTTTTGAACCCGAATTTACTTTCTTAATTAACTGCCGCATACAATTCTTCAAACATAAGCAAAAACTGACAGAAAGTGAGTTAAAGATGTTGCAGTCGATTAAAAATATTTCCACGTTTTATTTGTTTTTTCAGAGGACTTAGTGGGCACGTCAGAAGATAATCAAGCATATTCTTGACTTACGAAGCACGAAATACTAACTGCTACACGCCACAGATGGTGAATCATCGAGCGACTGTACGTGTAAGATCACTAAATAAAATTAATTGGTTACACTGAGAGTATTTACTGTTTGGAATTGGAATGGACCAGAATGGGAAAGGCCACTGAGATGGAAAGAAGTTTTAAAATATGAGGATAACAATGTACCATCCTTTCTACTCGAAATCAGTTTTGAGAATAATTTCCCTAAGTGATTATCATCACGCGAAATCACAGATTACAATTCTTCTTTTAATTATACAGTTGTACCTTTTTTTGATAGGTTATGAAAAAATAATCGCACTTGGATTTAAAAAATTCGCGAAAAAAAATCAATTCATTTTTAGCAAAAGTTGTAATCTGTTGGTTACAATGATTAAGTTGAACTCCAGCAAGGGTTCAAAAATGATATCCAGGAGGCCGTCCATGGGTGCATCGATTACTTAGCAACCAAATATTTCCGTAAGCAAATGAAATTGTCTAATAGAAATTCGAATACGTACGTAGGCTGTTTAATGAGCATGTTTTCACAAGAAACTTATTTAAACAAGGAAATTCTATGATTCAGTCCCCTTAGCAGAGTGTTGGTACGTACAGTGTACGAAGCTTTCTTCTTTTCTCTGACTCTATTTAAATTATGCTTTTTGATTCAATGTTTCTTTTTATCTTCTTTCTCCCAGTTCTCGTAGCTTTCAAGAAGACAGATCACCAGTTGAGGAATGAAAACATATAGCAAACAAGCAGGTAAATCATATAAATCATACATACCCCACACGTGCTGTTATCTCCTTACGCCCATACGGTTATGTCTGTTGTTTTCCAAAAATATTCCGAGTACACGGATCAAATTAAAGCACCGTGAAAGTAGGAATCACTCTTCAATATAATCCACTGAACAATTTAAGGTATAATGTTGATAAGCATTAGCAATCATTTACCACAGTAAAAAAAAAGAAAGGATTTTCTGTGTCCAATGGTTAATATAAAACTAAAGTTGATTCATGTCAATTACGCTTAAAGTTTAAAACGACTTACTACGAAATTTCTTATTTGGATATTCTGATGTGTTAACTTCCGAAAAGAGAAATGTTCGAATTTCGATGCGGGTAAATTCTATGCTTTTATTCTGGATAAAGGAATGAGCAAAGAAAGTTGAACTTTTTTCAACAAGTTTTCAGCAAAATACTAGATTATAAAATCCTGATTTAAACAACAACAGCGTTTGAATTAAGATTTGGTCCTGCAAACTGTCCTCAGTTTATTAATAATGTTTTTCCCACTGCACAAAAAGGCGATGAGCTGACGCCCGGCCATCCTCGTGAAGCTACAACACCGAATCAAAAGATCGCTCGGCGGTTTAAGGACAAACGTTACCTACACTAAGGGATAGATCCTACATGCAAAAAACTTTTAATAAAATAATATCATAAATGACGTTGTGGCTGGTAGACTCTCGAACTGGAACAAAAGCATGATCTTCACAGGAACTCAGTAACTGAAAAACACATTAAACACGAATTTCTTCATGGTAAGGTAAAAGAACCAATCAAAATGCTCAACGTCTTTTACGCTTGACAGGTAACTGAAACCCTCTTTCTTTGAAACTTGTTAAAGAAACGAGAAAAATTAAGTAATCATTACAAGAGAGATAAATTAACCTGTCGCAATAATCACTGCTATCATTTGGCTTTGACAATCGTGAAATGAACAAGGTAAGTTTACTTCAAAAGACGATGTAACAGTCCGAGTGGAGATTCCATAGCTAGCATTCAAGCCGTTCATTTTTTCCAAGTTATTTCGTAAATATGAAGTTATGTTCATAACATTTATTACTGGGTTTTCCTTTGAACTAATCAAAATATTTCATATCATGATCAAACTTTAATTTTAGTGCACAAATTAGAGGACTTTGATGATGCGATCACGAGTTAAACTGTCCACCATGTTTGTACTGATTTTCTCGCTCATGGCCACTTTCTGCGCAAGCTCTGCTAAGGACAGCAAGCCATCAAACACCAAGGTAACTGTATTTATACTCATAACAATTGCACATTGATTTGATTACAGTTGAATAATGTTAATTTGTGAAGAAAAGGGGTAAAAATGACCATTTGCTAATTTTACTTTTTGCTTTTTTTGATCAATAATAAGAAATGTTTTAAATTAAAATAAAAATTAAGGAGGTAACTAATTACTTATACAACCTTAGCAAAACTCAATCGCAATCAAAAGTAACGTTATTACTAACGTGGTAGATACTAGTATATAGCTCCTGGGCTGAAAGACGAATTTCTTTAATCACAACTTACGATTTTATCGAAGAAACCCAAATTAAAACTTGCAAATTAACGAAAATCACTGGACACTCTCTCACCTAGGTTGAAACGATAGATGAAAGACAAAATTGACAAGAGCTACTAGTAGTTTGACTTTTCTTTTTTTGGCAGACTGTTTCATCTTGTCCATCTTGTAATAATGGCGGACAAACCGGGATGTGGACATACATGACATGCGTCCCAGGAGCCCCTGGGGCACCTGGTCGAGATGGAGCCAAAGGAGACCTGGGTAGCCCGGGGAAAACTGGGACCCAGGGACCACCTGGTACTGACGGAAAGAAAGGAGCAAAGGGAGAGCCTCGGATCCAGGGTTCTGCCGGACAAAAAGGGCAGCGAGGGGACAAAGGCGACAGTGGAACGTCACGACTGGCTTCACACATGAACTGGAAGTAGTGTGCTTGGAAAAAAGGGGACGACAAAGATTCAGGACTGATATATGTAAGTACGGATCGTCACTTTGTTACCCGAGTTAAAAAATATTATATTAGCTCAAAGCAAGTAATTTTCACTAAAATGATTGATTGTCATAATGCCTTGGTCAGCGGTCAGCGATAATGATGATTTTACTAAAATGATTGACTGTCATACTGCAGGCACCGAAGCTATTTTGTTTCTTTATATCTCGTTTAGAACTGTGACTTTGTGAAGAAATACCCGGACACTTCCCTCCATGTCTACTATGCTGGTAACCTCAGGGTTGGCTATTGTGACAACTGCTGTAGTCGCTGGTATTTCACCTTTAATGGAGCCGAGTGCAGCTCTCCTGGAACTATTGACGGTGCATTCTACATGCGAACAGGCAGAAACCATAATCTTCATCGTCACCGCCACATTGAAGGTCACTGCAATAACATTCAGAAAGGAAAGGTGCGAGTGGGATTCTCGGTTGGAAAGTGCGTCACAGGACATAAGCTTGCTAACGCCGACACTGGTTGGCATTCAATGAATCGTATCTTCATTGAAGAAGTAGCAAAAGCTCAGCAGTGAGCTCTTTTCACGTGATCATCTGGACTTTTCTAAAAAGCCTGTTAGACTTATGCTATGTAGTGAGGTAATAATGTTTGTAAATCAACAGTTGCCATCAAATCTGTATCTGTTAAAAAATAAAGTCCAGAAGCATTGAATCTTAATACTTTACACTAATGCCTTGGGTCACTAACATACTTTCCGTATAAAGTTTCATAAATTAAGTCACACCATGAACACTTCATTGCAACAAATATGCTTTTGAGTTATTCGCCTATCTGATAATAACCTTATTGCGCTTCCCACTCATTCTGAGCCAGTGAGATGCAAATAAAACTTTACTGCGCTTTTCACAAACATGGGAATTCTGAAGTTCAAAGGCCAACTGACGATTGCGTTTTTCGCTGCCGTCAATCATCTTAACGGACCTCTTGGGAAACAAAACTTTACTTTAACGGGTTCAAAAGGTCATGGTTTGTGATTGGTGATTGGTGGATTTCGATCCGTTTTGTGTGTTTCTGTGTTTCAAGGTTCGTTGCTTGTGATCATAATTATGATTGACGGCAACGAAAAACGCAATGTGAAGGCGGCTTTTAAACTTTAGAGTTCGCATATTTGTGAAAAGCGCAGTAAGATCGAGGACCTTAAATGTCAAGCTGAATTCTTCAATTTCGGGTCAAGGTTGAGCTGAAATTAAAACTACGTAGCCTCGGTTAAAAAGCAAATAATATTTCATTAGACGATTCTCTCAGAGAGCAATCAAAGCATGATTAGTTTTTGAAAAAAAAATCGACGCAAACCAGTGTAACTTAACAGAATAAAGACATCCTCCCACTGTTTAGGTGGGACAGTAAAGTAATTTAATATGTTTATAGCCTGCGTAGCATGGTGGTTTTGGTTTGGCGCACAAAGTAAGAAGGAAGAAAAACCGCTAGGAGATTGGGGCGGGAGGAAAGAAAAACCGCCCGCACGGACGGGCGCCCTTTTTGAGCGTGAACAGGAAATGGCCATTTACAGTCTTCTTCATGGGAGAGATGCTATGGCAATATTGTCAACAGGTTTTGGCAATAGCATGATTTTTACTGTCTTTGTTATGGACAAAGAAGAAATGTCATTATCAAAAACCTGTATGACTCGCAATTTCGCCTCTAAAAAAGAATTATAGACGACCAGATTTCGGAAATGTTGTTGCTGAGCTGTACAGCAACGGAGCTTTCGACAGAAACAGTGAATTTG